CTCTTATAATTCTAACCATTTCAATGTTTCCCTTCACTTGTTTCTACAATCTTAGTCCAGTAGTTCTTATATTTCTTTGTTTCTTTAAAAAAATAATTTCTTTTCACAGCTCCTTTGGTCTTCAATAACTGTTCCATATCACTCTATGCTAATTCCTCCTTTCATTCAAGCACTTAAATGAGTCACATCTTTTTTTATGCTTTACAGTCTCATCTCTCCTACTAGTCTTGATTATGTCTCAATGTATTTTTTTATTTAATTCTAAAATACAGAGTTCCATTCTGTGAGTTGCTGAACACTTGCTGAGTAGTTACAGGTCTGTTGACTTCAGTAGGAGTGTATAAAGTAAGAATTCCAGACCTTCTAAGACTTTTAAATGAAAACTGTAGGTATGCCAAGTTAAATTGTGCTGTATTTTATATTTTTTCCCATTCACTATTAACCTAGGAGCAGTTAAGTTACCATGAACTCCTTTGGTAAGGAAAATTATACCTTTCTTTTCTGTTTCTGGTGTTGACAGTATGCAATAAACTGGAAACTTTGGTTATGTAAACACCAGTGAAAATAAATACTAATTAGAAGTGGTCAAGAGTAAGGCATCTCGCCATCTATCCTACTGGAAATTTTTAAAATTTACATTAAAAAAACATGTAGAAGTTTTTCTTCATTGTTAATAATAAATGACAATAAAATAAAACAAATATTGGATGGCTAGTTTATTTCTTATCAGAACTCTTTAATTTTGAACTTTCAGGAATCAGTCCAGCAAGCGTCAGAGTCAATAAATACTTCCTGTACTGATCTGTGTCACTCTACAACTGTGTAAGAGTGTCTTTGGTCTATACTGTGTGCATTATCACTTCTGCTCCCAGACAGGAGATCCAAGCTCACTCCAGAAGAAAAGTCCCTGCTTTTTCTTTCATTGGCTGGGGAATAATGAACCAAGAAGGGATTTTACTTGTGCATTTGTTCTGGTTGCCGGGAAAACTGAGCTGCTATAAAGCAGTGTAGCACCTTGGGAGTCAATGGATTATGCCATTTGAGGAGCTGGAGTTGAAATAAATTGAGAAACTTGATTATAACTGTGCCATTGTATATCTGGAAAAGTATTTGAAGTCCCTCAGTGTTTCATTGTGACCACACGTAGATATGATTTTTAATGCCCTAAACCCCCTTAATCAAGATCTTAGTTTTAAAAATTGTTATTAAACATCTTTGCAGAAAGTATTTTTATATTTGATATACCACAATTGTCACCTATATTTCAGCAAATATGCACTGTGATTAAAGGGTATAATCTCTCAAGAGAGGTTTATAATCATTTTAATTACCCTGGACTTAATAAAAAGACTTAAGGGATTTAATAAAAGGGCATTAAGAGATTGCCAAAGGGTTATATATATATATTTTTATAAGAAAAATTGTAAAGCTTCTGTGGCTTTGAGGTGGGAAGACTTAGTGGGAAAAGAGGAGGAGGTGAGCAAAAGTCAAGATGAGGATTAGTGTCAATTAAACTTCCCTTTGAACCTCCTAACTTGCATATGCAGAACCTGACACAGCTGAAAATATTTGCAATTTCCTGGGCCACACAGACCAGAGAGGTTGCTTTACAGCTCAATGACCTACAGGAAACTGCAAGAGAGTGAAAGGAAGGTATAAACCCAGACAATTTCTTCTAGCTCAGTGCTAAGGTATTTTAGCTCTAGTCCATGGGAGAAGGTTTGAGTGGATGAGGGAATTTTGAGAGTCAGTACATTAATTTCTCAGGGCTCAAATATTTTGTTTGGTTTTGATCTGCCTTTGATCAAAACTAAACAAATTATCTGCCCTAATCCTCATCTCCTGCTCTTAAGTTTCAGGTTAGCATAGAACTAGGTGTTTTTCTATCTTTCTGGAATATAATAAATGTAATCAGAGAAGAGAAGATGAAAGAGAACCAACAATCTCCAGACAGGAAATTCTATAGCTCTTACAAAACAAAGCAAAATCCAACATGCAAACACCTAGAACATTGCCTCACTTCACCCTTATACTGAATTGGACCTCAAGACTTATCCAGAAAGATAAGGTGGAGATCCAAATGTAGATACCTGAACATAAACCAGCACAAGTTCCCTTGAAGGTTTCATTGGCTGGAAGTAAAATGAGTTGCTTAGGTTTTCCAGTTGGGGTTAACACATATTTCTAATGTGTTTTCCATTTCTTAACACTAGAGTCTTTCAATGCTGGGATAAATCTCTTCTGGTTATGGGTGTTCCTGTAAGCCTAAGGGATAGACATTCTGCACTAGAAGCACAGAGGAGTGCCTTGGGGCTTATAATGCCTGTTTTCTTCTCTACAGAATTCTGCATAGGAACAGACTTCTTGAACAACTTTATATGACCATGTATAAGATTTGCATTTTGTAACTCTTTCCCCTTCCCTCTGTCCCCAGAGACTACACCTCTGGTGTGCAGAGAAACCTAGTGTTGAAGTCAGCCTTCAGAAATGAAAATTAAAATACAAGAGAATGCAAGAGAAGCAAATCTGTGCCCACCTTTATCAATGAAAATGCCACTAAACCTTCAGATACATGGGGCAATGTAAGATTATTTTAAAAAATCAAGGCCAGCGTCTGCTCATATATACCTGTGCGTATCTCTGCTTTCTTACTTTACACCTCTTTATTTGTAAGTGAAAGCTACAGAAATTTGGCCAAAGGCACTCAGCTCCTTCTATATTCTGTAAAATGCAAGGGGATGTTCTTTAAGTCTACACTAAACAAGTGATAAGTTTGAAAAATACTTTTTCTCTAGTATGAAGGCATGAGGATAGCTGAGAGACTATGTATGATTAACTCATGCTCTGTTCATTGATCAGAGCATAACTGTTTCCTCATTTTTTTGTGACATGCTAAAAATGCAGGGCAGTAGCCATTTAAAAATTATTTTTGGCAAGCAGTTATTGGAGATGGCAAGAAAAATGTAGTAGCAGAAAAACTTGTATATTTTTCAGAAAACTGTTATGCCTAATCAGTTCTTGTAGCAGAAACAATCTAAAATGGATTTTGAGAATTTTGAGCAGGTTCATGCAACCACACTAGCTTTGTTCTGAACTCCATGAAGTTATAATTCAAACAAACACTACCAAGAACAACATATGCATTATTCTGTTAACGAATGAAACCAAGAGGGTTTTAATGCTTCTGTTGAAAAGAGATTGATTCACTGCAGAATAATTCAAGACATTGTTTCTGCTCTTGGCAGAAACAAACAAACAAACATGCAAACAAATAAATTCCTAGGCATATAACCTGCAAAACAAACCAGTTTGTTTGTTTGTTTGTTTGTTTGTTTGTTTTTAACACTGAGAGCTTCTCATAAATAGTAAGGCTGGTTTTGATTTTTTTTTCCCTTTGGCTAAGAGTTAAGGGCCTATACAGTGGAAATATAACATATGGATTGTAAACCTTCAGAGGAAGGAACTGTGCTTTCCTCTATTGTGGACAGCACTCAGCTCTACTGAGTTTCTGTGTCTCTGACAAGGTTCTCCAGGTCTGTCTACATTGCAAAAATGCACAAAAAATCAGTCATATCTATACACTGACAGGTTAAAGCAGTAGGAGCTTTACCACTGTTAATATTTCATGTTCCGTATTAGCTAACTCCAATTGCCTTGTCTGTCTTGGTTGCTGGTCAAGGCCAGGGCTGAGGAGTGGCAGTGGCTGCTGCTCACCTAACTTCTGGCTGATGCGGTTCCACCCTCCCTGGCAGTCAGTAGTTAGATTGGTTTAAATTGCTGTGCAACCGCAGTTTAAATTATCTAGCCTGGGTTAGGTAACTTAAGTTAAGAACACACCTTTCTTTGTGGTTTGTTTCAGCATGACTTTCATGTTGGTTTTATGTTTCCCACTAACACAGAGATTGGTATGGAAAGTGCATGTACTCAGAGGAACACTACTGGGTTCCACCGGAGATTTAGCCTTTAGCTACAACAGGCACAGCCCTAAGTCCTGAGAAAATTCCATATACTCCGTGACTCATTTCTGCATACCTTGCCCAGGCAAAGCTTCCACTTAATAGGATATTTTTTAAAAGAGTTAGACTAGCAGTTACACAGGATATAGCCGTCAGATTGTCAGATCAAGAAAAATCAGTTGGTGTTTGGGGGCAGTTAGGGGGTACTACACAGAGTTTTCATTGCATAGGCAGTGGAAAATATTCTTTTTAACAGTATTAGTCTTTTTAAAAAAGGTGTGTAAAAATGCACGGGCCTTATTGTTAAAGTTTTTCATCATTTTGGTTCTGCTTTGTATAAAGCGCTTAAGCCCATGCTGTATGTTAAATACATAGGCAGTACTATGAACTTGAATTTCATTTCATTAAATTTAAGCACATGCTTAAATGATTTGCTGGACTGAGGCCAGAATGCTTGCTGAATCAAACTGAAATACAGCTATGTCTGTTCTTCCTCCTTAAACAAACAAGCACTAAATGAAATACAATAAAATAACATTCCCAGAGAAATCTTGTGCCACAGAAAGAACTTCTCCATTGTTGTATTAGTAATTTGCCTAATGTTCAGTATCTGCAGTGTTCATACAAGTGTAAAGCAGTGCTAATTAGGTAAGCTTTATGATTTTATCCTCATGTTATACTGGGCTTAGTTTTGTAGAGGAAGAAAGCAAAATTAAACTAAGTAAGAAAACAAAAGCTGTAAATGTCATTTGAAATTGCTTGACTCAAACTAACTAATGATATTGCAGTCTTTACAGTGGAATCTTGAAAAAATCTGGATTCACTTCCTCAGTGAATAGCATGCAATTCAGGACATGCAAAGCAAGACTCACCTCACAGAGCTACAGATGCTTCATCAAAGCTATTGAGTTAATGTCTATTTCTTGCATAAACTGTAAAATGAGAATAATGCTAGTTTTCAGATACTACAAGGTAAATGTGTTGATTTTTCAAACATGGTGAAAAATATCCATCTGTTTCCTATTCTAAGTAAAGCCCAGTCAGTATATTTTGATTTTTATTGTGCTATGTTACTAGGAGTGTTACATATAAAGTATTGACAAATGAACCAGGGTAAGAGAGTAGAAAGATTGTAAAAGAATTAATAACAATTGGACAGTAACAAAAATAATACCAAGTACCTGCAACAAATGAAACAGCAGGAATATTTTTTACTTTATTGGATTAAGGATCAGGTCCCAAATTGCTATGAGCTGTTTCTTTGGGGAAGGCAGTGTTACTATTTTCCTCCACCTAAATAGGTAATGCAGTGCAGGTTTTACCAAAAACTTTTACATGTACATCCCCATACCCAAGCAGAACAGCATTTTTAGGGCCTCTCACACTAGGCTGTAGGCCTGCAGTAAATCTGTGATGTTCCACTGACCATGCTGGAGTCATGCGTACTCTTCCACGGACAAGCTTCCTTGGTATTTCAGATTGTCCAATGCTCCACAGTGTTCTGCTCCCTCCTGCACTGAGGGAGACAGGCAAGGTAGAATGACCTACTGACTTGTGCCAAGCTATTGAAGAATAAGATATCATGGCTTCAAAGTAGAAGCGTTTTGTTCCCAATCCTGTGCTCAAACTTTCCCTCCTCCTATCTTATTGTCTTTCTTCCCTGATTTTCTGTCAAAGAAACAAAATAGCTTTAAAAACCTTCTTCAGACTATGACCAATCCTGAATTTTCTGCACTAAAGTTGTGAGTTTCCCAATAGTCTCTTCAGTTTCTCAGCTGAGATGTGAAGCCCAGACATATTTCCATGGACTCAGCCCTGGATACAATAGTCGTCTTGTCTAGATGCAGAGAGCATGATTGTGCCCTGACAAAAAGGTCTGGTTTATACATTTTCAGAAATGCAAGATTTTTTGGTTTGCTTTGAACTTCTTAATCCTATTTCTTTTTCCTTTCTCTTCGTAATGTTGTTATTGTACTACAAATAATTAGACCTGCAGAAATTAAGAATGTAATTAAAAAAATTAACCAGGGAAAGACCAACTGAGCCTGTCCCAGTTCCCACCAAAGCCCTATTGATTTAGCTTTTGGATCTGTCAGATTATGTATGAGCTAGCAAGAGAAAGAGGCCCAGGGCGCTGACATTGGCAGTGGCCTGAGATTGTCCCCACAGTTACATGGCCAGCATGCATCCTGGCAGGGCTTTGACAGGGATAGTGGTCTAGGACAGCTTGGATAGAGAGCACTCCCAGTAAGGAGGCTGGATGTGGAGGTAAGGGGGCGTAGCTGCCATGTCATGCTAGTTTTTGACTTGGGTCCAGAGATAGTCCACTGAAATCACTGTAATAAATATTACCAAAAATTTTCATGCCCTAAGGGACAGAGTCTTTCAATTTCAGTCTTTAAGATATTTTTACAGCAACCAGACCCACCCAAATTTAGATGTCTTTTAACAGATTTTTTTTTACGACAAGTAACTTCGTTAATTGCAGCTCAGACTCACGTGTGGTGCCAATAAGAGTTTTTCCAAGGTCAAAGGATGTCTCCTGCTGTCCTGGCATTTGGACATTTTCTGGTCCCATTTAACATACAGAGCCAGGTATGAAATCCAACCTCCGGTTTTGCCTTTCAGCTCTGTCTCTTTTTCCCTGCATTGCTCCGGAGCTGTCTTCCTCATTCTTTTTGGTTCTTTTATGCAACAGGAATGCAGCCAGACAAGGCTGTAACATCTTACCTTATTCCTTCCATTTTTTTCAGAACTGGGTCTCAGATGTAAAATGGACATATAGTCAATGAATTACTTGCCCAATTGAAAGATTCTGTGCAGTGACCTGTGCATGGTATCTCTTGATTAGCACTTTTTTCTGCAGACAGTGAAGTTTGTTCAGTCCAGAACATTCCTAAGAGCATTACTACATTTTATAAATCATAGTCATAATACATATTCATTGCACATATATTATATCAAACTCAAAAGATCTATCTCTCATTTGTATCTTCACAGGGCGACACATGACATATTACCAATAGGGATGACATACCTGGCATTTGGAATATTTTACGTAATTACTTCCCCCCATGCCTTAGGGTAAGCTCATGTCATCTTGCATACACACATACACACATTCCTGCAGAAAAGGAGTAGACAATTCCATATGGTCTTTTATCATCACACAAGAATATTTGTACTTTGTGACACACAATTAGTTTAGAGACACTTGGTAACTCAATGTAGTTATATAAGGACACACATTTCTGCTGGGGAACCGATTCTCAAGAGGTTTTGAGGAAAGCATGAATGTTTCTTGGCTGTGTAATAAAAATCAATTGCTCCTAAAACTTGTGAGATATTCCACAGAGAACTTGTACAAGAAGAGACATTGGTCCCAAAGGCATCATTTTGCATGGAAAAAGGGCTGTGTTATAAGAATCTGTGTTTTCTGAAGACTTTGCAGGCTGATAGAGGCAGAAGAGATGACTGTATTCCAGGGAAGTGCTTCTTTTCTCTATAAAGTTTCCCCAAAATCCAAACTTGCTGTCTGAATAGTGAGTGGGGTTTGTCATCAGGGTGAAATGATGTAGGAAAATACTTCAGCTTGATGGGAAAATGCTTCAGTAAATTAGTGTTGGACTTAATAGGAGAGGATAGGGGTTTTTATTTGCGTATAGAGACTGCTGCTGTATTTGTTCAAGTTTATGACTGTGTCCACTCCTCTTATAAAGATTTCCTTGTTTGTGCACAGCTGTAGAGGTCTTAAAAGTGGGAGAAATTCTTCCAGCTGCAAGTGCATGTGAGAGAAGCTGCCTTTGCATTATGCAGTCAAGCAACCTCAGGACAGCTCAGTTACTTGTCAAGAGGGTTTCAAGGTGTGTTAAATCCATGCCTTTTCTTGGGAGGATGTGGGGAGAATAGTTACATTTGAAAGCAGAATCAGGTGTAAAACTGAGAGGACTGTCCCCAGGGAGGGACAGAAACCCCTCCATCTCCCAGAATGATGAGGTACAAACTGAAGTCTACTCTCTGACACATAGACCCAGGGAAGTGTTGGAATCACTGCCCCTGGAAGCATTCAAAAAAGCATGTGGCACTTAGTGACTTGGTTTAGTGGTGAACATGATAATGATGGGTCAACAGTTGCATTTGATGATCTTAGAGGTCTTTTCCAACTGTAACTCTTCTATGGTTATATGATGATGGAGATCGAAAACTGTGACAGGAGAGACTCAACAAATGTCCACTCACATCCAGCTGCCATTATTTTAACGCGGTATCACCTGGCCTTTACTGGGGTCAGTACCTGGGTGGCTGGGGAGGCAGGACCAAAATGGAGCCTGGAGGGGTGCTGTGGGATGTAACGCCTTTTTCTGTGCCTTTTTGTGTATTTTAGGGTGCACTTTTTTTTGGAGGGGGAGGGGGGAGTGTGGGTGGGCCGCGGGCACTCTCCCTCCGTAGGGCCCTCTCGCTCCACACCGGCTGGATTTCCAGCCCATTGTCCCGGCGTTGCCGCGGCGACGGGAGCAGCTGCCGGCGGCGGGGCCTTGGCGGCGGCCCCGGGCGCCCGCGGCCGGTGTGGGCTGTGTTTACCAACACCGTCACATGGTCCCGGGACAGGGACCCTCCCTCTGGAAGCCATCCGTGCTCATGGACACGCTGAATAACTTTGTTCCTCGCCCCGCGGCGTCCCTCTCGGCACTCGGGGTTCTCCCCAGCGTGGGGTATTACACTGTCAGTAGGGCCCGTGGGGCTGGAGGAGGCAGCGTCCCACTGCCGCGGGGTTGCTTAATGTGCGCTTTTGCTGGCGTGTTGTTCCTCTCGCAAATTTACAGCAGGAGATTGCTGCTGAGCTGACCTTGCTTCCTCCGTCCGGGGGTAATGAATGCTTCTATTTAAACGCTCTGCCTCCACAGCCCCTGCGCTTCGGTTTTTCAAAGAGTAGCAGAGTACCCAGGGGAAGCCCTTTGTTGCCTGGATGTGAAACCTGAATATGGGCTCTCCTCTTGGAAGCTTGAGGCAGAAAATAACAGCTGAGAATAGATTTATGGGGTTTAATTTTGCCTAAATCATGTCACAGAGATAGAAAATATGGATCAGATCCTGAGCTGTGTAAATCAGTATAATCCCATGAAGAAATGATGCTTACATGGGCCCAGGAGCTGACCATTGCTCCTTAAAATGCAGACGAGCATCATCCAGCAGTATCAAGGAGTGGTTTAAGGCAATGAAGTTTCCTGATAGGCAGCACATAATCACTTAAATTAAAGTACGCCAAATACAGGAATGTCAGAGAATCCTTAAATATACGCAACCACTTTAGGATCAATATATTCCATATTTTTTGTTCTGTGTACATATTGCTTCACAGTTTGAATGGTCAGCTCCAGGAATATAAAGCCTTCTAGTTTAAAATGGATATATTAACACAAACATGGAAAAGAGCAGTATCATCTAATTATCAGTAGCACATCATGGAGCTAGTCCTGAGAAAGCCTGCTCTTCAGAAATAGTATGCTGTAAATGGGTCAAAAATATAAAATAAGGAATCACAGAGTTAAATACGGATCCTATTGAATTTCAGTCTTCAGTAAAATGTCTCATGAAAAATTCATATTCATGTTATTAATCCCATTTCACTATCCCTAAACTGATAAAGAAGTATAGTAATATTTTGTAACTGTAATCAATTATACCAAGAAATATTCCAAGAAAGAATCAAAAGGTTACACTAACATTTTAAAAAAACTTTTAGGATCTCTTCTGAAATGTAACAAGAATAATAATAGGAGATACTAGAAAAGTGAAACCCCGGATTAATTTCCACTGTCTGTCCTGTAATCCCACTCCACTTCCTCTCTCTCCTATTGGGGGTAAATGTGTATTGTTTTAGTTGTGGATGTGAATTCAAATGGCATTTTGAATGTAGGGTCACTTGTTTATTGCCTTAGTCTGGTGGTACACTCAGTACTCTACAGTGGCCAGACAGACCATTAGACAAGATGATTCACACTTTAAGGAAGCTCAGGAAGATTTTGATGTCACTCTCCAAGGTTACAAGATCCCACTAAAAATTCAAATTGATATTTTTGCAATGCAGTAGAATAAAGTGATGTGTGTGCATTTTGCAGATGGGGTCCTAAATACTGAAGAGATAAATGACATCTGTTTTAGCATAAGATTGATTTTCTGTGATTTCTCTGAAATCACACAATAGTCATGGAATTATTGAATCATTTAGGTTGGAAAGGACTGTTAAGATCAATGAGACCAACCATTAACCCAGCACTGCCAAGTCCACCACTAAATCATGTCCCTAAGTTGGAATCTACACATCTCTTAAATAACTCCAGGGATGGTGACTCAAACATGTCCCTGGAAAGCCTGTTCTAATGCTTGACAACCCTTTTCTTGAAGAAATTTTCCCTAAATCTCCCCTGGCACAACTTGAGACTGTTTCCTCTTGTCCTATTGCTTACTACCTGGGAGAAGAAACTGACCCCAAACTCACTACAACCTCCTTTCAGGTGACTGTAGAGAGCGATAAGGTCTCCCCTAAACCCTCCTTTTCTCCAGGATAAACAACTTCCGCTGCTTCTCATCAGACTTGTGCTCTAGATCCTTCACCAGCTTCGTTGTCCTTCTCTGGACACACTCCAGCCCCTCAATGTCTTTCTTATCATGAGGACCCTAAAATTGAACACAGTGTTTGAGGTACAGCCTCACGACTGTCAAGTACAGAGAAATGGTCCCCTTCCTAGTCCTGCTGGCCACACTATTTCTAATAAAAATAGTCAAATTCCTTAACTATGACAAACGCTCACTGTACAGAAATACCCCAACAGGCTTCTGGTTAATCACTGCACCAAGCAGCATATATGCATAGGTGCAAATGTCACACCCATCCACAAAAAGGGCCGGAAGGAGGACCTGGGAAACTACAGACCTGTCAGCCTGACCTCAGTGCCTGGCAAGGTTATGGAGCAGATCATCCTCAGTGCAATCACACAGCACCTACAGGATGGACAAGGGATCATAATCAACCAGCATGCGTTTAGGAAGGGCAGGTCCTGTCTGACCAACCTGATCTCCTTTTATGATCAGGTGACCCGCCTGGTGGATGAGGGGAAGGCTGTGGATGTGGTCTATCTGGACTTCAGCAAAGCCTTTGACACCGTCTCCCACAGCACACTCCTGAAAAAGCTGGCAACCCATGGCTTGGACAGAGGCACTCTGTGCTGGGTTAGGAACTGGCTGGAGGGCCGGGCCCAGAGAGTGGTGGTGAATGGAGCTGCGTCCAGGTGGCAGCTGGTCACTAGTGGTGTCCCCCAGGGATCGGTGTTGGGTCCAGTCCTTTATCGATGATTTAGATGAGGGGATTGAGTCCACCATCAGAAAATTTGCGGATGACACCAAGCTGGGTGGGAGTGTTGATCAGCTGGAAGGCAGGAGGGCTCTGCAGAGGGACCTGGACAGGTTGGAGAGTTGGGCTGATTCCAGTGAGATGAGGTTCAAGAAGGCCAAGTGCCGGGTCCTGCATTTTGGCCACAACAACCCCCTGCAGAGCTACAGGCTGGGGATAGCATGGCTGGAGAGCAGCCAGGCAGAAAGGGACGTGGGAGTTTGGATTGACAGGAAGGTGAACATGAGCCAGCAGTGTGCCCAGGTGGCCAAGAAGGCCAGTGGCATCCTGGCCTGGATCAGGAACAGTGTGGCCAACAGGTCTAAGGAAGTGATTCTTCCTCTGTACTCAGCACTGGTGAGGCCACACCTGGAGGGCTGTGTCCAGTTCTGGGCCCCTCAGTTCAGGAAGGATATTGAGGTGCTGGAGCAGGTGGAGAGAAGAGCAACAAAGCTGATGAAGGCACTCGAGCACAAGTCCTGTGAGGAGAGGCTGAGGGAGCTGGGGTTGTTCAGCCTGGAGAAGAGGAGGCTCAGGGGAGACCTCATCACTCTCTACAACTCCCTGACAGGAGGTTGTAGCCAGGTGGGGGTTGGTCTCTTCTCCCAGGCAACTATCAGTAAGACAAGAGGATATAGTCTTAAGCTCTGCCAGGGGCGGTTTAGGTTAGATATTAGGAAGAAATTCTTTACAGAGAGGGTAATCAGGCATTGGAATGGGTTGCCCAGGGAAGTGGTGGATTCTCCATCCCTGGAGTTTTTTAAGATGAGACTGGATGTGGCACTTAGTGCCGTGGTCCAGTAACCACGGTAGTGTTGGATCAAGGGTTGGACTTGATGATCTCAGAAGTCTTTTCCAACCTGGCTGATTCTATGATTCTATGATGTTTAGCATCATTCAGATCTGCATGTTTAGAGCTCTGGTGTATGTTTAGGCGCTGAAAAGACAAACACTGAAGCAAAAATAAAACAAAAGAACCAGTTTTGCGCCCAAAAGAGTTCACAATCTTCTAATATTCCAATTATTTCAGCAGCATGACTATTGCTGGATGGAGGGGAGATGTTATACACAGGTTCTCAGTCCAGTATATTAAGAAACCTCTGCAGTACCTCTAAGAAATTAATTCCTAGTGAGATAGAGGAAAGTAAACAATTTTAAGGAAATGAGGCCTTAGTCTGAAATTTTCTTGTTTTGTCTGCTTTTTGTTCTCTTGTTTAATAAACTCTGATCTCAGAAGAAGCTGAACAAATAGTGATGGACATATATGTTAAAGGAACAGCCAGGAAGCTCTCAATATAATGTGCATGCCCAGAATATTGTCAGGCCCCCATTGACATGGGCTTTGATTCAGGGCATTTACAACCTAAATAATAGAAGACCTGTGTCATTTAACAACTTGAAAAGATTGATGTTGAACTGGATACGTACCAGCAAATGCAGAAGCTGATAAAATTTCAGACAGGTAAAGACAAAACTCAGAAAACCTCTGCCAAAGAGTTAAAAAAAAAAAAAAGAAAAGAAAAGAAAAGTGAAAAGTATTGTTTGCTGTGGTTTTGTGGTATTGTTTCCCTTTTTTTCTTTTTTCTTTGGTTTTTCTGTGCTTTTTTAGTAAGAACCTCTGAATGCTCAAATTAAAAGTTTTAATCAAAATAAAGAAACAGGAAAAGTTTGCATATTTTAACTTGGGTTTTTGTTATTATTGAACATTGACATTTTCAATACGAATCTTTGTTTTCAGTAAAAAAAATTCCTATTTTCCTACTCATCATCTTGCCACCAGCAGGCCTGAAACCTGTGTATGTATTCATTAGCCAAATGTGAAGTCAGGCTGACTGCTGCTAACAGTGCCTCTAATTCTAGCATAGTGGTTTCTCCATTTCTGATGCATGCTTTTGACATCCCAGCTAGCACAGTGCAAGAGGAGCTGCCTTTGCCAGACCCCTTCTGATTTTGCTTTGCCACTGTTCCCTGATTTTCCTATTTATTCCCTGTGCACATCTCTTCCAGAGCAAAGCTGCTTGAAGAACTGTAGGGGAAAGTAACCTAAAGTTCGTCATGAAGCAAAGA